ATTGTAATTAATAATATTATGATAATATAGATTAAATTAAATCAATTTAATAATTGTAAATAGTTGAATAAAATATCTTTAAAAAACGTATCTAACAATTATTTTGAATCTAAATTGATTTTTTTTTTATTAAATATGATCATGAAAATATAATTTCAACAATAATGTGTGTATTAAGTAAACAAATTTACATGTTGTGTAAGAAATGAGATACGTAAATTATAAGTAAACCACTGACATTTGGTATTCAGAAACCTTGCGATGCAAGTCAAAAATGGTGGTGTTGTAGTCCAGGTGCATACATTACTCTGTAATTAAGTGCTCAACGTAACCTTAGCTACAAGGCATTAAGTCGCAACTGCATTAAATTGCGCATCTCATTTTACACCTACAATTTACTCCTCCGCAGTACATCAAAAAATTATCACGACCTTGATTCTACTCAATTGCAACATCTTATTATATACATACATAAAACTTACCAATTGATGCAAGAAATTTATAGATTTATAGGACAAAAAATATAAATTTTGTTTTTATTGAGATATTATTTGATTTATGAATAAAGCCTCGCATAGTAAATAAAATTTTATGCATTCAAGTCTCATTTTGTGCGATTTATTTTTTTGTGTATTTAGTACTTTGATTAGTCCGGTTACAAATAGTCCGGGTAGCGGAACAGCAATATTTTCGAGAAAACTCTTCATGTAACACAATTTATTATCAAATTACATCATAAATACAAGATTGATACATATTGTTTATAGATGTTCTAAAAACAAATATACAATTTTAAGTTAATTTCAACTAATTGGAAATTCCATTGTGCAACAAGAAGTAGGTCTTAAGATTATTCGTATTTTAAAACAAACAGAAATATCCAACGCAAGATATAAGTACTACTTTTTCAGTAATCTTGGCCTTAACAGTATTTTTTTCTTCTAAAATATTTCTTACAAAACAACGATTGGAATTTACTCTGTACATCACGATATGCAAGTTATGACGGATGTAAGAATGTTCATCAGAAATATTCAATTCCAATTTTACTATTAACAGACAGCATCAGTTACGAAACAGATCTGCTTGTTGCGAAACGTTTATATTCTTTATCGTTCCTGCCACGGTTTCAATGTCGCAATTACATTATGTTATTGTGTGGTTTCCGTGCGAATATCTTCTGGCTCCGCTGAAGATCTGACCCAATTTTCTCTTATTGTTCGTAATTTAATTAGTCTAACTTGCTTCTCTTCCCATGACTTTATTGTTTTATATAGACATTATAAAAAAAACACAAAGTAGAGAAAGAAGAGAAAAATAAGGTCTGATTGTTGTCCGGCACGTGAAAGAAATTTAATTTCAGCGCTCCACATTATGCAGCAATTTGTCGAACGATTAGTCGAAAGCCGTTCCATCTTCTCGGACTTTCATCCTGCTAGTCGACCGTGCATCCATCCCTGGCCGAACAGAACAGAAATAGTCGCAAAACGAGGTTTGCTTTATTTTCTGTCGCGCGGTACAAAAATACTGCCATTGTGCATATACAACATAAAAGTTGCTTCTTACTCATCAGAAAATTACCGTGTGCAAGTACAGGAAAACGAAACGAACAGGAAAGATATGATGGGACGATACTAAATTAGAATATATACTATAGCTTACATCCTTGAACTTTTCATCGGAGCGAAGAGGCAAGAAATCGCAACTCAATTTGGAACAATATTGTATCTATTTTTTTATTCATTCCTTCGCTTGCATAGTAGAATGTCGGATAGTAAAGATGGTAATCATCGCGAAACCACACGAGATCGCAATTGGAAATTTATTAGAGCGCTTGTCACACTTTTTTTATGTTCTGCTATTTGCGAATAATTAATAATAATATGAAAAACATAACATGGAACACCGCACATTCTATTCAAATATTCATCATTTAAGTCAGAGTTTCCCAAACTATGAAGAGTTCCATGAAAACCTAGAATTAAATAAATGCAAAATAAACAGAGTGTTCCGTGAAATTTCAGGATTTACGAAGTGTTCCGTTGCAGGAAATCCTGATTTAGGCAATTAACGTCATATTCGTGGTGGCACATCTATAAGAACTACAGACTTGCAGCCACTCCAATATATTTATTTAACCGCATAGAAATTACAACGTTAATTATCCTTTACAGCACATGAGCTAATAAACATTTATTTTGTAGAAATGAATGAAGAGAAAAATCTGTTAAATTTTATCAATCCATAATGATTATTTTATAATTTATTTATAACAAATTTTAACGAATCATTAAATTAATTTTATAAATTTAAAATTAAGCAGTCTCGACACATATTTAAAGTTTGTAGCCTTTCAGTAAAAAAGAAAAAATTCTGTTTTATTATCATCGAATTTCTAAATCAAATGAAGAAAATTCTTTATATTTTTCCAATCCATATTTTATTTGTAAACCGACAATATGTTATGACTCATTCTAGTTTTTGTTACAATTCGTACATTCAAATTTACTCTAACAAACAATTATATTTCTTTTTATTGTGTTTTCACTAAAAATGTTATTGAAGCGGAAATTGCGATTATATTTTGTATAAGTGAAAGAATCTGAACCGCGAAAAATTAACAACGAAATGCAATTTGTTCGGTTCCGTTTTCGACGAATTCATTTCCTTCGACTTTCTTTAATAATTGCCGTTTCTAAATTTGCAATTATTCAATTAAGCAACCAAATTGAACATTCCGTTTATTTCTTAATGCCAGCAATCACTTTCCACAAACAGAAACTGTGTTTACATTAATTACGAATTGCAATGTAAATAATGTACATCGAATCTCAGAAAATCTCTTGAAGATAATTTGATAAAAAAAATATGGACAATTTCTACTTGACTCGATAATTAAAAATAAATGCAAATGTTATGTAAAATTGTTATAAGCGCTATTTCTACATTACGGAATAAAATTTAATCCTTTTCAGTAAATAATTAACTAAGTTAGTTTTTTTGTAACACGTATTTTTTTAATTATAATAATATATTCTAACATTAAAATTATATGTTCATAGTTTAAATAACATTTAGTGTAAGCTTCAGTAAATTATAACAAATATAACGAGTTTATTATAATGCTTGAAAGTAAAATATGGACGTGTGTTAAGATTTACTTATGTAGTCTGTAACATCCATTATTACACGAGGAAAGTAAACATATCGAGGAAGAGTCTGTTGCAATAAACCTGATTTGCAATGTACGTCTATATTAACACTTATCTCCAACAGATGTCACGTATTTGACGAATTTAAGACTTGTCAAATGTGTTTAAACTATCTATACAAATTATGTAATAGAAGAATGTTACACATACATCTTGTTGATAGCATATTTGAAAAAATAGTGTTTAGTTGTTTTTATTGGTATATTTTAAAAACTCTTCTTATTTATATAATTCAAATTACTTTGAATTCTGCGTTTTATTGAAAAACACATTGAAAGTTCTCTAGATTTTTTTTATACATAAAATTGTAGATAGATATCTTCCGTAGTCGCCTCATTGTCATAAATATTGACATATGTTGTTGCAATAAAAGTTCACCGCTGGTGAACATATTGCTACGCAACGGCTCTTTTTTTTAAATTCCGAGTCTCTCGACGCAAAGAATATATACTGTTATGTCGAGATTTTAAACTAAATAGCATAAAATAATCAAGGATGGTCATTGACCTTTAGGTCCTTGGACAACAATTTAAATATTTTCATGAATTGTAAAAAGACTTACATTTAAATAAAATAAAAGGATAAAACTGTTATTAGTTGTAAGAAAAAGAAATACTATGCAAAAATTTGTTTTTATAAACATGAGATAGAGCTGATTCAGGTATTTCGAAGTGTTTCCGCTCGGTTATTTAAGTTTTTGCAGCTAGACGTGTTCAAAGGAAAGGGATTCTGGAAAAGTCGAGATTTTGCAGAACTGTGCACTCCGTCGCCCAAACCGGATACATTTTGTGTCTATTTATCGCATTCAAGTGTGTGTATATATATAAATATAGGAAAGTCAAGGCTGTCCACTGGATGTTGGGACGCACGTATTGTAAGTGTGAAGTGGAGAAGTCGTGCAATTTAAAAGTCGATAAACCGATAACTGCGTAATTCTATGCGACTGCTCCTTCCACCGAGCCATGGCATTAAATAGGATAGTAACCTGTCACCTACATAGTCATATCTTAAGCGAGAAATTGCGAAGCGTCTAATAATTTGCGATTTAATTTGCCGTTTCTGCGGAAATCAACTGGTATTAAAAATGATCGCCAAGGAATGGGAAAAACGTAAGGAACAGTCTTTACACGGAGAAGACTCTTTTGATAAGGCGCTTTCTACTGGAATATAGGTCCTTGCATATATAGGAGAGAAAGTGTCGATACATGACCGAACGCGTCTTTAATAATAACGTTGCAATTGCTATTGGTTTCTTAAAAGAACATATCGGATTTATTCATACTAATATTATTTATTTGCATCTTTCTATCTAAGCGAATGAAACGCTACAAAGTTCTAACTCTGTGGATCCTTGAAATTAGATTTGTGTTGATATTCGAACGACTGGAAACTTAAACAAAATATTTAAGAAATATCCGTTTTAAAAATGAACAAACAGACAAAAGACACTATATGTTTTTATCCAAAGAAATAAATGTTAGTTCACTTTCCATCGAATAGTAATATCACTTATTATTACCGATGTAATTGAGATTATTATTACTAGTGTACTATACTAGTACTATTACTAGTATTACTATATCAATATTATTTCAAAATTTCATTCTATGTTGTTTCAAATTGATTACATTGGATTGAAACATTTAACTCAAAAGTCTAATGAATTATGTTCAAAATTCGAGGTTTCTTTTTATTTATTATAATACTTGAAACACTATGTAATTTATAAAATGTGTTCGCATGAGAATTTTAGTGTAATAATGTTTGATCTATTCTTCGTTTTTGCAGATGCCGAATTATTTTTGCACGGCAGCAGTCCACCCTATGCCTATTTGGAAACGATCCAGGAAGAGACCTCCGATGATCTGCGGTCCGAGAGCGACCTATCCGAGTCAGAGGCCTCTCCAGCAGGATGGTTGGCCACCGATTCCGAATCAGGATCCGTGATACGCATCCACGCAATAGGTAATTAAAAGTCTTGATTTACTCCTTGCAGACTTGACAGCCGGAACCTGAAGAACGGGTTCTTCGGATAATCCATCCATTCATGTTGTACGTATCAGGTTTCTATGCACCTACGAAATTTGCAACCCATTATAGCGACGAAGCTTATTATAATACTGCAAAGTCCATTGACCAGACACTGTACTTTTGTTATGCAAAATCGTACTTGTTGTTTTTCACACACTCGTAGACTACAACAATTTTGATCTATTTAATTCAATGAATTTAGTTGCCTTGATTTATATTCAAAAACTTATACGTTTTCAATTATCTTATAAAGACGCATCTTTTTATATAGAAAAGTCGACTTAAAATTGGACATATATACAATTTTATAATTATATTTTCAACAAGCAAACAAACAAATTCTATTACAAACTATATTTTGTAAAATATTTTAAAGTTTGTTAGATAGAATTACTTGAATTACGAGTCTTCAATTTAACATAAAACTGTTAAAAGTCGTTTAGTTATAAGAACAACTACTAAACAAATAATGATTACTTTATTGAGACATTTATGAATCAAAGCATCTTATTCGGTTCTTCAGTATCTATTTTAATTCAAATGCAAACAGAAGACATCTGAAAATGTCTATAAAGATGTAACAACAAACAGTATTATTTTAAACCTGTAATTTCTGCTATTTATGAAGCAATTGTACTTAATTTAAACGGTCAATTGAAGACGAAAAGAGCGGCTTGGATTTCTTTCGTCGCAAGCCATTTAACTTTTAGATATTTAAAGCTAATTAAAGACGCACGCAATATGTCTTCGCATCGCGTAACCGAAGAACAAAAGGAAGCGGCATCTTGTTGACCCGCATTCGTGGCAATGACAACTTCCAGACATCCAGTCCCTTGAAACTACCAACTTATTGCAGATAATGTAATCAATCTGCACATTGGAAAGTTCATTTCAGTATTCGAAAGTCAGCGTTGCGTTTATCTTGCAACCATCGTTGGCATTTTTCAATGGTTTGCATCGCGCCGCGTAGGGACAACCAGAGATTCTTCTGCGAGCTGTGTGATATAAGAGGGAAAAATGTGTGTACGTGTGTACATCTTTTCTGTCTCCTTTTCTTCGTTTTTTTTTTCGAGTCTGTGGTCTTCTCGTACAAGAAACCGGTTATGTTCCCATCATCGCAACGATCATCATCATCGGGAGCGGCAGCAGCTCTTAGCCTGGTCGTGTTTTATGTCTCTTTAAATCTTCGTGGTGGTGAGGAATAGCGGTATAATGAATGCACATGAATGCGGTGCTCAGGCCATGGCGTGAAAGACGTTAAGTAGGCAAAGAGGCATACCATACAAAGAGAATGTGCGAAGTCTCCTCCTAATGATCTAATTGCGCGACGTACGTTTGGTTGCATAACACGATGCTCTTCTTTCACTCTTTTTACATCGACCTGTAACATGATGCAAACCATGGAGAATTGTGGGAATCGGTGGCAATTAAAAGTCATTTGAATATTTCCATTATATTCTCGTGGGAAAGGGATTGCATTAATTCGATTTATTAGACGATCTATGCCTTTCTTATCTTGTATTACGAATGAACTAATGAAAAAAATCTGTGCTAAAGATTACCAAACCCAATTACTTTCTCTATAGAAACTGAAAAGATTACAAACTTTAAAAGTATCTAATTTAGTGAGAAACTATGTCTTTGTTTAACAAATTATTCATGTAAATCGTTACGGTTACAAACATATAAGAACACCTTAAACTTAAGGTTTTATCAACATCTTCTATTTTTGAGAAATTTAGCACACAATTATAAAATTTATAGACAAGACAAATAATATATCCAACTTATATTCCAAAATACATTAATTAGATTTCCAATCCTTTCATATCATTTCGATCTTTATTCATTTTTTAATAAACATTGAGTAATATCTGTATTTTACTTATTATATTTTAGTTTCAATGATCTTGATATGACTTGTTAAAATTATAATTAATGTATATACTATATTATTAGTTGTATTGGTTTTCGCGAGAAGGCTGATTCATGATTTGTGTAATCAAGAATAATTGCGAAACTAATAGTTCTGTTGGCCTGGATAGAAGGCAAACAGGAAGTATTGTTTTATCCGCAACTGATTTATTAGCTTGTTGACATAATTAATTGCAGTTTTATCTTGTATCATTCCATATGGAAATAGAAACCAAATTCTGGAACGCAATAGATGCGCAACTCAATTATGCAACACACGTTACAGACGCGTTAGGAACTTATCTAACTTAAATTTAAGTTTTCATTAATTGTTATAATATTGTTTGTTTTTTCTCTTGATTCATTAAATTATGAATTATATAGCATTTTTCTATTACTTTTGGAAAATATAAATGAAGGTACAATTTCAAATTTTCTTGAACTCTTATCAACTATGGTTTATAAGAACAAATACATATTTTTTGTTTTGTTTTTTGAAAAAAATAATTATATTTTATATAGTCTTGTAAATGCACATAGTTTTGCGTAAATTAAATTAAGGTGCAATGAATGGATTTAACCATGTGGAGTTTAATCGGATTATCATCCATTGGTCGAAGGGTGTTTTAAGCCAATTTGAGCAGACATGCAAATCCTTTGTTCCCTCAGAAGCCTTTGATCTTACCCTAATTCTCTTTGTTGCAGAAGATTTGGAGTGTGAATCTGATCGTGAGGTGGCTTGTCCGGCGAAGAGGCGTAGGCAGGACATATTCCTGAGCGACGACGAATCTTGCCACTCTTTGAGCAGGTCAAGCAGTCTACTGCAATTTGAGAATCTCGAGAAACAATGCCAGGAAATTTCGAGCAGCTCGCCAAGCATCTTCTCCAGCTTCAGCTACGACTCACTGGAGAGAAAAGGGAACGTGAGTCCAGATAGTTTAGATAGGGACATAGACTCAGATTACTATAGGACATTGAAAATTGATGGGTTGCCGAAGAAGTGTAACAAAAGTAGAGATTCGTTGTTTTATAACAATAGTAATAATAGCAGCGACTGCAGTGCGGACAGCGAGGAGACTTTGGAGGCGGCTAGGTACGATAGTACTGCAAATTTGAAGACCTGGAGAAGCTTCGATGGGTTACACAGCAACACGCACAAAGTCAAAGTATCTGTGGAGAATCTGAGTGAAGATAGTGGGTACAGTGACCATTTCTATGTGAGGAATAAGTCGAGTAGCATTCCGAATATGGTCGTTGTGCAGCATGAGAGGGTGATGCCAGAAAGGAGTGTGTACAAGACGCAAGTGCAAATCGGCGGTGATTTTGAACATTACAGAAAGAGCAAGGAGCCCGGGTTCTGCGCGTACGACGGCGAAGTTAGCGGGAAGTTCTCGAGTAATTTCGGGATCAGTTATCATGATCTCAGCAATCTCGAATACCGCAGCAGTCCTCTGATTGATAGGTTTATGCGAAACGGTGCGGCCAAAAGGCGTTTAGCGGATGCGGTAAATATAGACAAGGCGTCGGAATGTTGCGTCGCGTCTAAATATAACACTGTGGCGTCGGCGAGTGAACCCAACTTGCTCAGTAACGCGACAGTCGAGCACCGAACAATTGACAACGAATACAACAAACAGGACTACTTCGAGGGTGCCGTGTGCGTGTCCAGCGTCCCGAAGGATCTGAACCTTGCCGGGGATTTGGGCCGTAATTGGTCTCAAAACTTTTCCTCAATCGCTGCAACCAACTGTAACCTGTCCGACATTATCGAAGACAAGATGCCAAAGTTGTCGCGATACCAGCGAGCCGAGTACGGCGACAAGATCACCATTCGTCTGAAGTACGACACGTCGAGTATAAGTTCAGCCTCCGACATCGAGCCATCTAATACATCTTTCAAACGCGAAGGTAGCTACTTGGAGGCTATGACAAATTCCATAGACAGCGATGAAGATTTCAAACCGCACAAGAAGAAGATTTTAGGCGAATTTGACAGGCAGATTTTAAAAGCAATTTCAGAGACGAGCATACAAAGTTTTGGCAAGAGTGCGGAAAAGTTGGACACAGTATTCACGTCGACGCCGATCTGCAAGGAGAACAGGAACGTAAAAAGTACGCCGGATCTAGCTGCAATCAATTTCGAGCACAGAAAGTTGGTGATGAATCGTAGCACGAGTACTAGCGGCGTTTCGGAGGATGAGAAAAACTTGAAACCGGCGAAATCCTTTAGCGGATCCAGTGGTTCTAAGGGTGTACATTTCAGCCCTGTCGTTGCGGAGGTTAACTGGAGGGATAGCGTCTCGACTGAAAGGGAGTCAAGTTACAGTTTATCCAGCAGTCCAGAACCTGAGGTAAAAGTGTCCTCGAGCCAACCGGAGCTGAAGTCACCGAATTGGCGCGGCGCTGAAGAGGTCGGACGCGAAATTATGAAAGAGCTAGCCCGAAGTCAGCCGGAGATTGGCGGAGCCAATGTTTACCACTCTCCCACTCCTCACAATCACGTGGCTATTGGTAACCAACAAGTGAAGGCAGACAAACAAAACAAACCAGTGCTCGCTATGGAGCCTGTTGTGAAGCAGCAGCAGCATCTGCAGTGCGAAATCCCTAACAAGGCGACAAAGCCTAACAAATTCGGGGGTTTCTTCTCTCGTATCGCAAGCTTTAGATTTTCTTCCAGGAAGAATGATGAGAAAAAAAAGAAAAAGATCATCGAGCATCCAGCGCTTAAGCCCACCGGGCAGCGTCTGGCCACCAAAGATGATTATATTTACATCCCTCTCAAGGGTCCCGATGAAAAGATCAACAACAATATAAATAAAGTGCAAGTTGATGGTTTAGTGCTGGACGACGGGGTAAGCGGGAAACCCCCGATGCCACCGAGGGTTGTAGGCGCTTGCGTCAAGCAGCAGCGACGTCAGGAGGCGGCCAGCACCACATTGGGGGCGGTTGCGCACGGCCAAAGACCTGACCACCGTAGGACTATTGATTCCGGGCTCCCCCGGCCCATGGAGCCGATGGGGTTGATCGAGACGGACCTCGACACAGAGGTGACGGTCATCACAAGTGGGGCCCATGCCAAGACTCGCAGCCTGATGAATCTGGGGGCAGAGGCGCCCCATCAGCACCAACCCCTCAGCCTCGCCGCCCCCGAACAACACCGTACCCACAGGCCGCACAAATCCATGGAGTTCCTCCTCGATAAACAGAATCTCAAAGTGGTTGAGGTAAGTTCTTTTTCAATATCAATACATTCGACATTCAACAAAGTCCCACATCCGTCAATATTTATCTGCCCTACTTACCGCCACAATATGCATATGATCTGCACCTTTTATCTTGCATCAAAAACACGTTCCCAATAAGTTTACTTTAAATATAGCGCTTCGAGCTCGCAATAAATCAATCAATCCTTCAAGTAAATATACTTCTTTAGCATTCCGCGCTAAGCATACATATATACGGTGTCGTTACTTTGAAACAATTCGAATCAACTCCGAAATGAAATGGTGCGAATATATTTTATACTAATATTTAATAAATCAATCAAATTATCTGCTGTCAATTCATAATATAATTAATTCGTTCTGCATTCAATATTTCCCCTTTGTCATTTTATTAAATTACTATAATTCACTTAACCCTTCTCTCCATAATTGGGAACGGAAAATTGCTAGGCAAAGTAATTTATTTTAAAGATCTTTCTCATATTGTAAAAAAGCTAATTTTCTCTTAAATTATAAACAAGAAACTCATAAGTTGAATGTATTCATATACTTCACAATATGTGAAAAGTCATACAAATGAAATGAAACCTTAACGAATTTATTAAAAACAAAACTGTGGGATTAATTTATATATTAATTAATCTCTTTATGTATAAAAATAACAACTTTTTTTAATTAAGTTAGAAAACTTAAATTAATATTGTAGTTAAGTACTAATTCATACATTATGTTTGCATTTTGTCACCTTTCCTTCTCAGGAATAATCGCTATATTTAAATTACTAAGGTTATTGTACCAAAAATTGCTCTAAACAAATGATATTATGTGTAGGTTGGAGTTAATTGAAACATTTTTGTTCTGGAAAATAAAACTGGCTAAAAATATGATTATTTCGATTGATTTTGTGCGTTTCAGAGAAACTCGATTACTCGTGACGCAATAGTAGCGGATTTAAATAAAACATTTACGTTTATAAATAATACGAGCTTTGGTATTCGAAGCGCGTTTCTGTTAATAATGACATAATATTTATTTGCGCGTTTCGAATTTACATCGCAAAACATCGACAGCCTTCAAATATTTATACAGGCCCCAAATATCTTCATTGAATTTTGTTTGAAGAATCGCAGATACAGGTGCAGAATTCACAAGAAAAAAAACCTGTGATTTATGCGCATAAAGTAAATTTGCAACCTGTTTGGGAAAGTTAGGATGCACAGAATAAAACCAAATTCGTGGGAAGCAATGCTTTTGATTAGCAGAACCGTTGCTTTCGTTTGTTCATCGTTTCCGGTTTAAACAGTCAGGATGTTCTCGATCAGAAAAGAGAGCCTCGGGTTGTTGTTGTGATGCTGCCACAAATTGACCAATTGTCGGATGGACCACATAAATCATCCGTCTAATTACAGTACAATGCTTGCGCTTGGACGGATTCCATCGGTCTTTAATTTTCGTCTGGGAAAGAAATTATTATTTTATTCGGACGCCCACGATCATTCTCGCAACAATATCGTAGGAAACCCATGGCACGGAAAGAAATCACAGTTAACCTTTGATTTGGCTTTTGTGGGTCATATATTTTCTTCTATTTTATTTTTTTCTACTTCCGAAAACAGAAACACCGTTCCTAGGTTTCGTATCGCTACTACCATTCCGTGCGATTCTTTCTCCCGATTGTAGTACTTTGCAGATAGCGAAGAACACAATCGATAATTTTTCCCATATATAGGGAACGGAGGCTGCAGCACTGACACAATTTCCCCTATTGTGAACGAACACAATTTCGCTCCGCTGAAGTCTTGCTCCTCCTCTCTACCTCACTGCTCACGATCGCTGAAAACCTTCGAAGTTCAACGCAAACACACCCACGCACTTAACGGATGTTGGTCTCGAAAAAAAAAGGTATTCAGCTCGCACCGGAAAAGACCAACGAAACTGCTTCCGCAAAGGCAAACGTGTATCCAAAATAAAAAGAAAGAAGAGAAAACACACCTCCGCATATGCATTGTGTGATATATGTTTATCATTATTTTGTGTCGGAACCGTTCTACCGTTGCTTTTTTCATTTCGTTTCGTGCCGTACTACAGTTCACCGTGCGTGACGGGGCATAATTTACTATTCATTTTTAGTCCACCCGAAAACGCACAACTCCAACCCAGTATGCTCAAACTCCTTAATTAATTGCGATGTTTACATAACTCTATTTTGCAACTGATACTTTTCACTTAACCGGATCCGGTCTTAGCACTTCTAAATTAAAATATGATAAAACGCTGATAAAACCCTCAAATGAAAAACCATGTGCAATGTTTACAATTTTAAAAGTAAACATCTTTAAATATCCTGGAATTAATCAATTAATCTAAAATTAATTTTAATCGATTGATATAGTAATTGTATAACCTGATATGAGAAGACAATTCTCCAATACTGAATAATGAAGTATTTACTTGCAAGTAATAACAATATTTTATTGGCAGCTTTGAAACAAATCCAACTTTTTAATTGCTTCGCCCCTATTGAAGCCAATTTTAAAGTTTTATCCTAGTTTAATATTACTACTATCAGTTTCATTAATTAATGTCTAAAATAGGTTAAAACCTATATCATATTTCCAACTTCAATGATTATGATATTAACTTTATTCTAATAATGTTATGTTACTGTTATGAAATATTAAATTAGTGATATTTTATAGCAAATTTTTAGCAAGTAAATGACTAATAAATGTTACAAAATCAAAAACGCTTCAGTTGTAATAAATCCCTTTTTTCATTGATTTCAAATAATTAATTGGTAATAAATGTGTTGAAACGAAGGCAATTTTATGTGTTAATTGAACATTATGTATCTAGAGGTACATTTATCATAGCATGATTCTTATAATTCTATAAATTTTATATAATTGCTTAATTTTCTTGTAACATAATTCGATTAAATTAATTATTCTGTAAATTACAAAAGTTTATGATAGTCCTCCACACTTAACGAGTTCTGAAGGTTTTATAGCAAAAAGTGAATTGCTGTTCTCGGAAGTCTCAGGCCAAAAGGTTACATTAATTAAATATTCATTCCAGTTTTCAAAAAGGCTACATTATATCGGGGCTTCGTACTTAGACCTCGTTCCTAGATAAGTAGGATAGGTAGATTTACAAGACCCCAATGCTTTGAACTACTTACAACTGGGCTTCGCAATAAAAGATAAAATTTATGAATGAACCAATTCATTGGAAGAGTAGAAAAAGGAATGTCCGTTGCAGTTGGAAGCGATAACAATAAAATCAATAAACCTGCCTTCAGATATCTAAACAAAATAATTATCTGTTTTCACCATAATCAACGTCAGGTGAAGATGAGCCAAAGTAAAAGCAAAGCAGATTTTATAGCTACTATACTTTCATATCCATAAAATAACCTTCTACGCGAGAGAACGAAATTAAAAACATGTGTATATTTTTTATATTTGAAATGTGTGTTTGATTACCAATAATCTTGACCTTATGTATCGATTTTCAATATGAAATTAAATAGGCAATACCAAAGTCCTGCAGTTCAAACCAGCTTAAACAAACAAAACTCAAATACATGTTATTTTTTTGTTATCGCCGCAAAGTGAGTAATTGTGTTTGTTTACAATGTTTTCATTTTTTTTCGGTTCATGGTCTTCGAGCGACTTAATTTAACAGTTTAAAGGAGGAATTTATGCAAGGATTTAATTGTACACTTTCTACATTGTTTTAAATATATATTGTTTAGTATAATAAATACATTATGTGAGTCGTTAAAATGGGTTCATTTTCTGAGTGTTTCTCGGAAGAGCAATGCCATTAGGAATCCGGTAGATGTGGCCAGGGCACCCCTAATAATCAAAAAAAGTATTGTTTAAATGCAAAGGACGAATGTTAAATGAAATGATTACCAAATAATCATCCGGTTGTTCGGCCAGGTCGTGCTGTACGGTTTCACGGTGACTTCGTGGCTATCCTTGTATTTATTCAAAATCCTTCGAGCGCTGTGAAAAATGAAAATGATTTTTTAATGGAACCACTTGAGTTCGGAAACAATTTAGTTTTCCATGTGCACTACCTGCCGTGATTATCGACTGCTATGATGGCTGACTTTTTACCGGACAGAGGCTTCACTTCCACATAGCCGCACGTATCGAGCGTCGATGTTAACTGTAAATCAATTCGCAAAACACAACAAATGAATTCTGGGCACATAAAGAAACTTCTCTACACCTTTGTTAAATCCAAAGGCCTATTCGATTTGTTCTTGGCGATGAGCAGTGACGGCCTCAGCGATTTCGGATCGGGTCCATCTAATTTCTAATCAATAACAGACATATTTTTTTAAGAGATATTTGGCGCCGTTCTTTTGGTTTACCATATGGGGACTGGAACACCTGATGAGATTTATGCAGTTCTTTAAGTTAGCGACTGCGGCTAAATGCTCGGTAGTTGTTAAGTACCGATTCTGCTGCATTAACGTATTGGAGGCTAATATGTGGGCCATTCTGATGAAGATGTATCCGGTACAGTAGGAATCCCAACCGGCGTCGTGGAAATGATCAAAAGAGCTGCGATCGATCTGCTGTATGAAAGGAGAGCGCATCGCCAAATGCCTTCCGCCCGAATCCTTGTAGAACTCGTAGTAATCCTCCAAAGCCGCCAATCTCAGCCCGTCGGGGATTTTGATTTCCCTGCTTATTTTCTTGGTGTCATACACGCTCGGAAACAAAGCCACGAACGAGCTTTTGAATTCGGCGTAGCTTTGCGGAAGAGGCGCTTCGAATGTGTTGTATAACAACAATAGGTCCATGTAAGGATTATGACCTACGAGCGGTTTTTTACTCTGCACCAGCAGTCGGAATATGTTCGTAAAACCTAGAGCGCTCTTCATAGTCTCATCCTCCAGGGACCAATCCACTGCCTTTCTGGAGACCATAAAAACATCGTCCTTCACGTACGTGTGGATATTCTTAAAGTACTTTCTAATAATTTTATGTATGCAGTAGCACATCTCGAAGTTAGTCCTGTACTTCTCGTTGATAGCCGGCAATGGTAGTTCGTCTTCCAAATCCTTCTTATTTAGCCAAATCGAAATCTTTTTTATCTCTACGTCTATGAACGCGCTGAGAACCTTATTTTCCGCGAAGAAGTCATCCGATTTCATTATCTGCAAGAATTCTTTCTCTTCTTGGCGATTCAGAAACGGCAGCCCCCTGTAAATCAACTACGCAAGTGCTATTAAAAACGACAGCACATAAGACACGCAGTTTTTTTTTGGTACCTCGTTGAAATCGAATTTGTTCTCGCAGAGGAACTGAAAACTCGACGCGCTTAAAGTTAAGTTGCGGCTTTGGCGGAGGAAAGGCCTGGGCCACAAGTAAAACGTGAAAGTCTCGCATGTGTATGTGCCTTCTTTCACGTTGTTTTTGAAAAGCGATAAACCCACTTGTACAGGAATCACTTGGCTAACTGTTGAACGGTGTTTCGTATAGCGATCTGCAATAGAATCGAACAAACTGCAAGAAGAGAATATCTCTTATTAATTAGAGGAGAGCGCCACGGGGTCAGGAAGGTTCTCGGGTCAAGTCATGGCATGCGTTTCGCTTAAAAAATCTTCGGGTAATAGAGATAATCGAGTAGCAGCAGCGGAGCCGATTCAATTGTTTACGCTTCGAACGTGTGCAGCTCGTATCTGGCAGATAGTGCCGGTAGCAATGCGCGCAGATTTGGATCCAAGTTGAGTGCAGGCAGGTATGGACAACAACAACACTGCACTTTGGACACTCAAGTATAAATGGTATTGTTAAGGTTATGTTATAGGAGGAGGCTTGCCTGCGTTTCTCGTTGTCCTCGACGTACAGGGCCGTAAATTCCAAGTCGAATGCAATGAATTTGCACGTGGAAATGGCATCTCGGATGCGGGGATAATTTTCGTTGAAGTTCTCCACAGTAATCCGCGTCATATCGACGATCCGCAACAACTCTTTTATTTATAGCAACGAACGCCGACAGCTCTGAGCAGACGGTGGTAAAACGGCAAACAAGTATCGGGAGGCGCCAAATTCGAAAAATTCTGCGACTTTAACCTACTTACAGATTGCTGTTCATGCATTATTAATGGCGCATCTGTGTTTGTACACAATCCAATGCCTCCGCTTGCTGCGACCACCCATTCAAGCCTCGGCCAGGCCATAAATCAAATGTCATTTGCTGATCCAGCTTTAAAAATAAATAAAGAAGTGCGGCGCTTCGCGACGCAAAACCAGCTTAATTGCTTAATTAAATGTTATCTCTCGATTAAATTATCCGCGATTTGCTCCATTGGATTATTCAATTCCAGAGCTACAGCCAATTGGAATTGCGTTCTCGCAATTGAGCACCAGCAAAACGCAAGATGTTTATCTGGTAAATTGATATTATTGATGCGGTCTCCTTTCATCCGATTATCGCTTCAATTCAATTGAGCAGAATCTCCAAAGGCACTTATTTCAGATCGATCCACTTTTCTGGGACACGCTTCTTCCCGAAGCGAGAAACAAAAGCAAAACTCAAGAAAGTCAACTCTTCAAGAAAAAATAAAACATAAACTTAATTATCTTTGCCCCTGGCAACAAATAATAATTCTAATCTCAATAGACAACATTCATTGAAGTAAAGAGAGGATCATTGCACATAAATTGTTACCATTCATTTTTCAACAATCAGAGAACATATTATCCACTTGAGATGCGATTTGTCTGGGGGCTCCTCAAGTGCAAAGAATCTGTTAATAATATACGAAGCTTGCGGTTTATTTATAAGGACAAGAATTCTTTAGCTTCGTTATTAATGCACGGAATTGTGGGTATGCAGTTCAGAACTATTTCCAACTGATTACATTTTCTTGCCGGATGCATTCCACCCGAGGACCGCTGCCAACTTTATGAGTATGTGCAGGAAATAAAACGGAACAGCAAATCAAAACAGTTTTATTACACAAACACTTTAAACTCTATCATTTCAAGAGGCTTGTAAAATCGGAATAAATCGAAGTCATCTCATTCGAGGTCGTCGGCACAAAAATTATGTAAGAATCATCGGTGAAATTGATGAATTGTGAGAAAATGAGAGCAACAAAAAAAAGCGTGAATAATATATTCGCTCTAGTTAATTTATTTTTATATAACCAAATCTGAGAGGAAGATTGTTCCCAGGAGGATGCAACGCTGGGAACGGCGCGTTCGATTTCACAAACATTTTCCGGATATTAATCCGAAGTGAAAAGCTATTAGTAGGTCGTAACCCTTACAATGATATACCGCTGTTTTACAGCACTTTTGGAGCTGCTCCACCGAAAAGTTATCTCGTAAATCTTGTGGTTAAGTAGGAAACTTCGGGCGCCTTCGAAGGTGCTAATTAATCATGTTTTTTTAAATGCAAATAAACCAACCGCAATAAAACTTTTTATATACGTATAATAATCAGAATTCTTCAGGTAAAATGTTACCACAAAGGGTAGAAAGAAACCTACATTATTACTTGTAAAAGATATTAAAAAAAATCATATTTTCTTTATAACTTTATTATTCACAAAACTTAATATGGAAACAACGAAGAAGAAATAACTTGAAACAAAATATTAACAAGTATCTAAAGAAAACAAAGTTTTCTACTTATTTAATTACTAATTAATTGGTATATTTAAATTTCATATTTAAAAAAATAAATTGAATTTAAGATATATCAGTTATTTTACTTAACGTAAAACAACCTGAAAGTACAATGACTGCTGCTGTTTCTACTTTCCAGGAAAGATTTTTCTTTGAAGCCAGACCATATCGATCAATGTAAATACCACAACCTTAAATGTCTTTTAATCAAATCTTATTTAGAACTTACATAACCAGTTGTTATAAATGAGTCACTATTCTCGTAAATTTACACCAAACATTTTCAAAATTAATTCCTTTTCTTTATATGATATTAATAATTTTAAGTTCCATTGTTGCATTTCTTAATTATTTTAATGACCTAGGAAATTTTAATTAGTAAATGATCTATCTTTTGTTGAATATTTTAAAGTATTTTTTAATGATAATTATAGAAGATTTAATTGAGAACGTAATTTTCTCACAAGTTCCATTAATTAATGATTTTATGGAGTTTACAAATATTAATTAGGAAAATAAATCGATCGATCGTTTGCACGAATTTGGCAAAGAATAGCCGTGATTCAATTAAACTTAATTGTTTCATCTCGCTTGATTAAATTGATCGGAATGCTTCGTGAGATTCCATCCATTTCGTTTGGCCGGGCGTTAGGTGAAATGGAACAGATTTAAATTTAGTTTTATATCCAACTGAAAACGAGTTAGCAAACTTTGAGAGGATTCAAATCCAGCGCAGCTCAGCGAGGCGAATTTGGAAATACCGCAGATTTAGCATATCTTAAGCCGCCCTTTACCCCCGCAGGAATACAACCGGCAAGACTAATTATTAATTTCTAAATACCAAACTCAACTTCTCTGCTGATTGTATAATTACAGAAGTAACGGGAATTAGTTTCATATATAAAAATATGAGAAATAAGTCGTACAGTGTAATTTACATTTGCATTAAAAATGGTTATGACCACCACATACTATTACCAGACTTTTCTAAACTTTGCAGTCGATGCGTGTGGGCAGCCGCAGGTTATCCACTCAATTAACCCACATCGCAGTGGGCTTTGCGCTAAGTAACATCGGTTACGCAATCTCTACTCCTCTGTTATACTATTTTGTTTTCTTCATTCTTTTTCTCCGCGCTTTCTAATTAACATTTTGGGTCTTCTCTTCTCTCATGCGAATTCCCCATTGTCATAGTGGCGTGTCATTATGCGCATTGCTAATACATAATTTTTCATCTCGGGGAGAGTTCTGTTACAGTTGAGGTGTGTTTGTTGGTGTTTCCATTTAGAAACTCCTCGCGCCATGCTCGTCCTCTCTGACCTAATTGATGTCACTGCAATTTGCGCTGAGTGCTCTCGGGACTTAACGAACTTATCTTAGTAATTCATCATAAGTTAACATTTTCCCCACACGATGAATCTTCGTCGAGCAATAATGGTGGTTTCGTAAGCGATTCCGGGCAAAACTAATTGAGTTGATCACCGGAAAGACTCTCCTAATTGCGTTTCGTTTAAGTGATCTCGATCTCGAATTTTTTTCTTAGCAGGATTCGATTTTGCTTCGTCGAAAGGAATTCGACCAAAAATATTATCCAGATGGTTACGAGTTGCGTCGTTGCAGAGGAGTGTTGTGAAAGAATGGAGTGGTCTATGTCTTGTCTTGTGTATATATATGTGTGAGTGTGGATTAGTGTGTAGTACTTTTATTGGATGCGGCTCATTCACCCTTGAGGGCAAAAGGTCAAATGGACGGCCGCTGATCCGACACACGTTTAATTGTGAACGGCTATATAGCTGGATGGATGATGATGATGATGGCGATGATGATGATCTCGCGTCGCTCCTTCATCTCATCGCACCATTATAAACATCTTAGGTACGGAAAACGCATCTGGTTTCTGTAAACATTCGAAACAGATTAAAGCTCAATTAACATTCCGCGCCTGCAGAATTGGAAAACGCTAAATGGATTGAAGCAAGAGAGATCCATCGCGCGAATGGATTTTATTTTAGGATCTTCTCCGATTCGCTTAGGATAGCAGGATAGGCTCTGAACAGATTCGCTTCTATACATGCTGCAAACGTGATATTAATTAAAATGTCTCGTGCGGATTAACACAATTCACTTAATATTACAAATTTCCTAACTTATTCCTGATTTTTTTTACATTCTACTAAATTGACTACTCTTATTGTTTTGATTATTTAAAATTAAGAAAAATCTTCTAGAATTTCCAATATAGTAAATATATTTAGAATAAAAATAGAGAAAATCAAAATCCAAATATTTGTTTTGTAATGAGTAAATGATATTATTTATAGATTAATCTTAAAGTCAATACAAAAAAATAAATAGATATTTAAAATATACATTTCCGGTAATTTACACATTTTTATTCAAATAACTGATGAAATAATTTCATATTTCGACTTTGCATTAATACTTTTAGTAATATTTTTCAAACACTTGCAAAATTTACTTGTCAAGTATCTCATAAAAGTAATACGCAATGAAATAATTTAATGATAGTTTCTAGTATGAAAGTACAGAAAAAGAAAATGTAATAATTGGCGGTTGTTTATTGATCGAAACTGAAACGTTAACCTAATAGCCTATAAAGTAAATTACAGAATTGTAAGTTAATTGTAACTTACTACTTTTCAAATTAATTGATACTTGTGAAACCGTGTCATCATCGACTAGCAGTTCAAAATTGTAAATCATTTTGAAGACAGGATGGAAGTGTCAATGTTCTTCTTAAAAGCAATTGCATCATAGATTTATAGCATATTCGAAGTATTTTAGGCTACACTTCAAACACTTGTATACTTTGAACTTTATATTTATGGGGAAATCATTCTCATATTCATCTTCATGTTTGTATTTCATTTTCTTATAACCTGAATGAACTATTTAAAGATCGAATAATATTGAAATTATGTTATGTAAAATGTATCCAAATCTTATATAAGTAAAATTTGTAAGTATTTGATATGTAAAAATTATAATTCAATTAACTTTTATATATAGGTATAATATTATAGTTTGAAGATTGATGTCTGTTAATGATAAACAGTTTAATAAAATTAAGAACCATGTGGTTAGAATTGTACTTAGATGGGTGATTTGTACCCTTTCCAAATTTTAACAGTATAGTAAAAATATGTCATGATTTGTTATGTAAAGTTAAGAAACGTACGATACGGATTACATTAGGATGGTTGATTTGTATTCTTCATCAAATGTTAATTACAAATCTGTTTAATAAACAGCACAAAATGTACATCCACAGTCGGAATCTCCTCCATCATTTACTACAAAATCGTATGTAATTTCGATGTTTCCGCGTTTCGCTTTGCCAGTCGAGGCAAAACAGG